TCACGCGACGGAGTTTTTGCGATCAACGAGGGTAAACCCAGATATTGACAGTGACAATTTATACCAAGATCCGAGCGATCGTGACGGCAGCCAGTGGAGTGCAGAGGAGTTTTATTTTTCTCGACGGCCAAGGAGGCAGATTCTTTTGGAAGCGGACGACGAGGACGTGGCGGAAGCAGCAGCCACAGGCACGTGTGTGTGTGCGGGAAAACCGGAGACGGGTGAGTGTATAGGGATGATCGCATTTTGGCCAGCGGGTACATGTGTAAATAGAAATTTCTCGACGGCCAAGATGCGGTTTTCGCTAGAGTAGGCTAGAAATAATGCCCCGAAATCTAACCTTGTTTTTTTTGTTAAAAATCCCTGCAAACTTTATTTAAATACAAACGAAAACTAAAATTTATTTAAATACAACCGAAAACTAAAAATTTATTTAAAAACAAATGAAAGTTAAAATTACTAAATAAAGATGGAAAAACTGAAACTGATCAAATAAAACTTCGACACATATATATAAAAATAAAAACTCCCCTCGCCGTCTCTATATCATTTTCCCTGACCTACGCCAAGCTTTTGCCAACCGAGACATGCATAGGGAAAAAGGGGTGGACCCAAACTTTTACTAAAACTTCACTGAAATTGATAAATTAAAAAAATATTTCGCTCCTCGCCGTTTCTCCTCGTAGTAAAATCAGTTGGGAATTTAATAAGGAAATACTTTATTACAAAGTCAAAGCCCGGCAAAAGGGTGGACCTTATCTTCGCGGAAAATGTATTCCGGCAAATTAAATTAAATATTTCTCCGGATATTTAGCGCTGTGTGATGGCCATGCGTTTGCGGTGAGGGGGGAAATTTCCAGCATCGTTTTGCGGAGAACGGCTGAATTTTCGCCTACACTGGGAGAAATGAAACTCCAAACTTTGATTATAAAAATTCAAGTAAATTTTATTTAAATATATTTTTGCTTTCTCGTGGCGAGCATAACTCCTGCCCCACCCTTCCGAGAGGCCATACGCTGCCCACACTGGGAAAATAAATGCAGAGGAATTTAAAAATGAGGGAAAATTAAATAAATTCAAGAAAAGCTCTCGTAAATAAAATCTTCAGCTCAGATCGAGTCCAGCTCACACGGAACGACCCAAGATCATGCTGGTCATGACTCACGTAGAACATTTTCCCAAAAATGCCTAGATTTTAGGCCATAAACTCTGCCCTAGGAAGTGGTGGTCCCCATAATCGACCCCCTCTCGGTCTCCTTATAGCGTCTGCTATGGGCCCGACCCAAAACGCGCTCCGCCGAGTATTTCGCTCTATTGCAGAGACCGAATCAGCCATTTTTCTGGCTGCGTATCCCGGTAACTGACCACTACCATCTCATGTCAGTTTGCCGTCCGTCAAAACACTTTGTCCCACATCTTTATAAATTTTTCTGATAAAGAGGTCCTTGGACGTGACTGAGACTTACCCCAGCCGTCGAACTTCCTTACAGATCTTACAGTATTCCTTAAGTTATAATATAAGCTAGGTCTCGTAGCTGCGCTGCTCGCAGGCAGCGGCAGAGAGACGGCTATGGATATATATTCTTATGTATAAGGGAATGTACTTATGTACATTGGCTATGCGCTCACAAGTGGAGGCGCGAGGGGGTATGCGCGTGTAGTCCATTCGATGCAAATATGCCGACACTAGCACTTTCTGAGTGCAGGCTAAGCCTTAGCGATCGGTTCATATTTCGGCCACCCATGGTTTATGACCGGGACTTTTAATTGTGTAAACACTGCAACATTGTGTTACAGTGCGCACCCGTTAACCCTCTAAGACCCAAGAGTGCCTCAAGGCACTTATTATATAATTTGTATTATCTAAAAAACGGGGAGCCTTTTAAATTTTTTAATTACACTAGTCAATTCACAATAAACATGTGAACTTATGAGTAGAAGGTTTCAAAGCTCTCTGAAGCTTTATAACAGGACTTTTTTCGTGTTGTTTACATGCATCATGCATTCGCGCGCAAAAATTTTTGTGTGCTTCATATAGTGTTTTTTTGTCTATCAATAAAAGTGAAATATCTTCAAAATCAGCCAAATAAAAATTATTGTTCTAGAAGGTAAGATATTAAATAATCCAAATCAAGTTGCATATTTGCAATTTTATAGAAATAGTGCGTTGTAGCAGTGATTTATCTTATTTACCCCTGTTCGATTTACAGGTAAACTACAGTTAGTACACACCTTTTTGAGGTCATTTTTAAAATTAAAAGCTACCATTTACCCCAAAAAATATAATTACACTTCGTTTTTTTTAATATTTCTTCGCTTGGGGCTTAGAGGGTTAAGTTAAAATATACAGTGGGTACTCGATATGTGTGCATACTACACCTTGCCAGTGGGCGCGTTCCCGAACCGGCGTTCCAGCTCGTCGAGCCGGTCCAGTATTTCCTCGGAATTGCCTGGCTGCCGCGAGAATGCTATGAGCCGCGCACGTTGCTTGTCTACCGTGCCGCTTCGGTCGAGTCCGAACTCGAGGGTCGGCAACGTGGCTGCCGGACGATGTGGTCACTAAATGCTCTAGGAGCAGGCGGGGCACCCGCGCTACTTGTCAATGGTTGGCCGCCGCGCTGCTTTTATCGACTCGTCGATCTGCTTGATCGGTCGGTCCCTGACAAAAGCTGCTCGTCGCGAACTGCTTTTAGGCACTGCTTGCGCCCACTGCTTGTATGTACTGCTTTCGCGGATGCGCGGAGTGGCAACTCCGGCGGACTCCTGGCGGAATTAGCTTGATCTCGCCCAGAATTCGGGCGACGTGGGTCGGGGAGATGGCCAGAGCGTCAGAGAGCCGTTAGCTAGCTCCGGTTGGGCGCGGAGGCTAACTACGGGTGGACCAGGCAGGGTTTCACTTGTCACCGTGGTGATACACGGTGCGCGGAATGGCCAGCGCAGGCGTGGCAGCAGCGTGTGTCGAAGTGTCCCTAATCTAGGAGTGGATACGGGCGCGGATGCACTCGTAGTCGCGGCGATGCACGGTGCGTGGGAAATCAGCGCTAGGGGGTGGTGCTGCGGCTACGGGCACAAGAAGGGGTCCCTAGTGGGCGAGGAGAGAGGAGCACGTGTCCTCCAGTCGCGGCGGCACGTTGAGCACGGAAGGAGCTGGTGCTGGCGTGGCGCTGCGGCTGCAGGTATGGCAGAGGGTTCCTAAGCTGGGCGCAGACGGAGGAGTGTGTGTACTCCAGTCGCGGCGGCGCGCTGCGCACGGGAGAGCCGGTGCTGTCGTGACGCTACGACTGTAGTCCTGGCAGAGGATTCCTAACTGAGCGAGGGCAGAGGAGCAGGTGTCCTCCAGTCGCGGCGGCACGCTGGGCACGGAAGGAGCCGGTTCTGGCGTGGCGCTGCGGCTGCAGGTATGGCAGAGGGTTCCTAAGCTGGGCGCAGACAGAGGAGTGTGTGTACTCCAGTCGCGGCGGCGCGCTGCGCACGGGAGAGCCGGTGCTGTCGTGACGCTACGACTGTAGTCCTGGCAGAGGATTCCTAACTGAGCGAGGGCAGAGGAGCAGGTGTCCTCCAGTCGCGGCGGCAACTGGGCACGGAAAGAGCCTGTGCTGGCGTGACGCTGCGGCTGTGGGCACGGGAAAGGATTCCTAGCTGAACGAGGGCAGAGGAGCAGGTGTCCTCCAGTCACGGCGGCACGCTGTGCACGGAATGAGCCTGTGCTGGCGTGACGCTGCGGTTGTGGGCACGGGAAAGGATTCCTAGCTGAACGAGGGCAGAGGAGCAGGTGTCCTCCAGTCGCGGCGGCACGCTGGGCACGGAAAGAGCCTGTGCTGACGTGACGCTGCGGCTGTGGGCCCGGGAAAGGATTCCTAGCTGAACGAGGGCAGAGGAGCAGGTGTCCTCCAGTCACGGCGGCACGCTGTGCACGGAATGAGCCTGTGCTGGCGTGACGCTGCGGCTGTGGGCACGGGAAAGGATTCCTAGTTGAACGAGGGCAGAGGAGCAGGTGTCCTCCAGTCGCGGCGGCACGCTGGGCACGGAAAGAGCCTGTGCTGGCGTGACGCTGCGGCGGGGGAGCACGGGAGAGGATTCTTGGCGGCGTGGGGCAGAGGGGCAGGTGATCTCCAGTCGCGGCGGCACGCTGGGCACGGAATGAGCCTGTGCTGACGTGACGCTGCGGCTGTGGGCACGGAGAGGATCGATGGGAGGTTGGATGGGCGTGGAACACGTGCGAATGGAAATGCCGAAACGCAGTATTTGGGCCGCCAGCTGGACAGAGATCGGGGGAACCTGAAAACCGTGACCAATACTACCAAGGAAATACTACTACGGGTAGGTTTAATTGTTAGTTTATTGTTGTATGTTTTATCTATGGGTGAGTCCTACTACTGCCTTACAGAATTGACTCCTGTAACTTACGAATCTAGCCCACGTGTCTGCGGGCGTGTGGCTGCCGATCGCGGTCGTTGCCTGGCAAAGATTTATATGCGCGAATGCGTGGGCTCTTGTAACCGATGTCCCTGCGTGGTCGCGTACGTCGCGTTCGTTAACGAGGACACGATGCACTTTGATTTCCGACTTGGTCGCGGAGACGCGGCGATGGGCACGTCCACCTCGATGCAAAGTTTCGACAGAAGAGAGCGAATGCCGGAAGACGCGAGCTGTCATAGCTTTTGAGTGAACCGGTGGTTCGAACCGGTTCACCGAGAACGGATCTGGTTCGACTAGTTCGACTAGTCGATAGTGTGCCCGATTTAGCGACCTCTGAGGTGCTGAACTTAGCTTATTCGTTAGCTTAATTATTCCTATTTAAATATACTTCAAGGTTGTCTTGCTTACGGCTCCAATGCCAACTAAAAAGAGTTTTAATCATAATAATGGCTTCAGTGCCGTCTTACTATATAGGCTTACACTATGGCTATAATATGGGGGAATATTTATATGCTTATCGTCTAGGACTTAATTTATATGAGAGGTTGTGCGCCGAGGAATAGAGGCGTCACACTCCCTCCCTACTCCGCCGAGCCGAAACGAATTTGGACCCGTCCTGACGTCTTCATCGTGATTTGGTAGGGGCCTTCCTGCGTGCGGACGCGGATGCGCTGACGGCAGTAACGTGCGGCATAGCTCCGGCGCTCTATCTCCTGCCAGACCGCCAGTGGAACTCGTTGGTCGTGAGTATTGGTCCACCACGCGGCTGGTATGGCGACTCGCTCGCGGAACTTCTGTCCCGTCTCTGTTTCGCTATCACTGGACTCAGACTCCAACTGCATAACCTTCCCGGTGGGCTGGTAGCAATGCTCGGTGGTCTCGTTGGCGGTGGGGATCGAGCCTTGGCTTGAGGATGCTAGCGGTGCGTCGTCGTATGTCTGGTTGATGATGCGGAGCGCTTGTTGGCTCGTGGACGCCAGTGGTGCGTCGTCGTATGTCTGGTTGATGATGCGGAGCGCTTGTTGGCTCGTGGACGCCAGTGGGGCGTTGTCATCTGCCCGGTCGCCGGGGAAGATGGTAGGGCCGCATCCTCCCCCAGTGCTGGCGACGGCGGGCGGACCGCGGGTGTGTTCTCCATGTCTATTTCCCAGTCCTCGTCCGGGGCCATTATACATAGCCTCTCCGGTGACGGGGGAAAGGTGACGATCGGGTCGGGAGTCGGCCGTAAGGGGGCCTCGATGAGGATGGAGGTGAGCGGGTATGGATCAGCTGGATCCACGATCCCCGCCAGAAGCCGCACCGGTCCTCCCCTTCCCATCGGTAGTGTGCCGCCGAGGGGGCACCATCGTCTGGCTCGCTGTCGCTGCTGATCGTTTGAGCGTCGTCATCGTCCTGCTCACTGGCTTCCTCCCCGTGGTATCCGGGGTACGGAGGTGTGGCATCGCTGTCAGTGACATCTTCCAGCACGTAGTCCTCGTCGCGTGCCGAGGCAGCCGGACTGGGGGTTCGAGAGCCTTCCTCCTCGTCGTCCTCGTCTGGCTCAGGGTCCTGCTGGCGAGGGCTGCACGGACTGTAACGCCCTTCAGGTGGTGGGGCAGCAGCGGTCGGGTCTGGGTATCCTGGAGCGCGGCGCGGGTTGTGGAACCAACGAGAATGGCCCGGCGCATCCGGATTTGGCGGGCCTCGATAGCGTCGCGGAGGCGTTGGTGGTGCGCCGCGTCGTGGTGGCGATGTTGGGGGAGATTCGTCCGAGGATTCGGACATGGGGTGCTGCGCTGGTGGCGCGGCGCGCTGCGGTGGCGATGCTGGTGACGATTCGTCCGAGGACTCGGACATGAGGCGCGGCGTGGCCCGGCGCGGTGGCGCTCTGGACGCAGTGGGCCGTATGGGGGGCGACGGGGCTCGGGGAGGGCCTCGAGTTTGTCGAATCCCGGTTGGGCAGGCTCTGGTGGGTCTGCCGGCGTAATACGTGCCAGGGCGCATCCGGGGATCTCGGGGGTCGCAGGTCTGTCGTAGGCTCCATTGGGAGCCGTGTTTTCCTCATCGCTGGAGTCTATTAGGATGGGCTCCATCCTGGTTGGTCAGTGGCACGCACGTAGATACGTCTATGGGAGAAAGAGAACTATCCAAACTTAAGCTAACTGATACTTAAATGTTAATGTCCTAACGGGCAGTAGTAGGCAAAAGTTCTAAGGTTAATCTAATTGCTAACAATGGTCTTAGGGTTAGAGAAAACTTAGTGGGCTACTTAAATTCACCCCTCGCTGATATCGTGGTCGGGTGACCGTGGCTTGTCGGACCCGGGTTGCACGCCGGCGTTGTCCTCCGACAGGGCGTCGTCGTCAGTGTCTGCATCACCTGTGGGAAGAGAAGAATGGAACTCTTTTAAGTCGGCGATATTGGCAAGGCGGCCCTTTCTTTTTCCGGGCAAGCGGATTCGGGCTAGTTTTGGGGACGGAAGGGCGACCACTTTATATGGCCCGTCGAACTTGGGCGCGAGTTTGGCAGCGAACCCATCCACTGCTTTGGATAGGTGATGTTGGCGCACGAGGACCAGGGAGCCGATGGTGGGCCTCCATGCCCGACGCCTGAGGTCGTACTGCCGTCCTTGGTCGCGGCTGGCCTTCTGGATGTTTGTCTGGAAGATCTGGATAATTTCCTTCAGTCGTCCAGCTCGGTCGGCAGGGGTCTCCGGAGCGACGCCTGCTCCCGGTGTTACTTGATCGTACCATGAGCCTGGTAACCGCGGCTCTCGCGCCTGTCTCCGAAACCTCCCAATGATTCTTTCGCGGAACGCCTGTATCAGCGTGGTGGTGGTGGCTTTCCGTAATGGGACCAGTTCCACCCACTTGGTGAAACTATCGAAGAAGACCAGCAGCATTGTGTTTCCTGCCTTGGAACGCGGTAGTGGTCCCACGAAATCTGCACATACGATGCCAAAGGGTTCATCGACCTGTCACGTCAGCATCCTTCCTGCTTGTGCCTTTTGCTCTGCTTTATATTTCTGGCAGAGGACGCATTGATGGACGTATTGTTTTACGTCGCGGAACATTCTGGGCCAGTAATATTTTTGTGAGATCCGCAGAATCGTCTTCCGTGTGCCCAGGTGGCCTGCCGTGGGCGCGTCGTGACATTCCTGGAGAATCCGCGCTCGATGCTCAGCCGCAACGCAGAGCTTCCAGGGGATATAATCCTGGTCGTCTGGGCGGTGTCCGAGGTGTCGGTACAGCTCTCCGTTTTCGATGACATAGTCGGGAAATCTCTGGAGGTCATCCTGAACATCCGCCAGTTTCCGTTTCAGCCATTTGCACAAGCGTTCGTCTGGCACTAGCCGTTGTAGGTGCTCCAGTGGCTGCCGGGATAATGCATCGGCGACCACGTTATATTTCCCGCGGCGATAGTGCACATCGTACTGAAGTTCTAAGGCCCACCTGGCGATCCTTCCAGTCGGGTTCTCAATTTGATCTAGCCATTTCAGGGCCAAGTGGTCTGTGATCACGTCGAAGCGATAGCCCTCGAGGTAGCATCGTAGCTTACGGATTCCCCAGACGATGGCTAGGCATTCCTTTTCCGTAGGGGAATAGTTGAGTTCGGCAGCGTCTAGCTTCCGACTCACGTATGCAATGACCCGTTCTTGTCCCTCTATTTCCTGCGTCAGCACACCTCCGAGTCCATAGTTACTCGCGTCGGTCTGGAGCGTCATCTTGACGGAAAAGTCTGGACATGCCAGTACCGGAGCAGCTGTTAGTAGACTTTTGAGGAGCTCGAAGGCTTTCTGTTGTTCTTGCTCCCACTTCCACCGCTGGTTTTTGCGCAGCAAGTTCGTCATGGGCTGAACAACAGACGCGAAATTCGGTACGAACCTCCTATACCATGAGGCCATGCCTAGGCATCGGCGTAATTCTCGAAGGCTCGTGGGTGGACTTAGGTTCCGCACGGCGGCTACCTTTTCAGGGTCCGTGTGAATGCCCTGGTTGCTAATGACGTGGCCGAGATAAACCAACTTCCGTTTGAAGAAGAAACATTTGTCTTGGTTTATCCGTAAGTTCGCCTTCCTGAGGCGCTTGAAGACTGTGACGCCTCTATTCTACAGGCGCACAACATTTTGCTATAAGTTAAGAATTAGATAATAAGTATATCGATATTCCCCCCTAGTATATAATCATTAGGTTTAAGACGGCACTGGAGCCACACAACAATCTCATTAATTAAACGTTTAAGTTGGCATTGAAGCCTGTAAGGAAGTTCGACGGCTGGGGTAAGCCTCAGTCACGTCCAAGGTCCTCTTTAACAGAAAAATTTGTAAAGATGTGGGACAAAGTGTTTTGACGCGCGGTAAACTGACGTGAGATGGTGGCTGTCAGTTACCGGGATACGCAGCCAGAAAAATGGCTGATTCGGTCTCTGCAATAGAGCGAAATACTCGGCGGAGCGCGTTTTGGGTCGGGCCCATAGCAGACGCTATAAGGAGACCGAGAGGGGGTCGATTATGGGGACCACCGCTTCCTAGGGCAGAGTTTATGGCCTAAAATCTAGGCATTTTGGGAAAATATTCTACGTGAGTCATGGCCAACGTGATCTTGGGTCGTTCCCCGCGAGCTGGACTCGATTTGAGCCGAAAATTATACTTAAGAGAGCTTTTCTTGAATTTATTTAATTTTTCCTCATTTTAAATTTCTCTGCATGTTATTTTCCAGTGTGGGCAGCGTACGGCCTCTCGAAAGTGGCGGTCAGTGATTAGATTTTCCGCGAGAGCAAAAATATATTTAAATAGAATTTTCTTAAATTTTTTTATTATTAAAGTTTGGAGTAAAATTTTCTCCCAGTGTGGGCGAAACTCAGCCATTCCCCGCAAGAACCGAAATGTAAATACATACGAGTTTATTTTAATTAATTTCAGTTTTCATTGTCTCTTTTATTTAATCAAGTTGTGTTGTTTCCAGAATTTTCTTTTCGCTTTCGTTTGTTTTTATTTAATAAAGTTTGCAGGGATTTTTGGTTAGATTTTTGGGATCATTATTTCCTAGCCTACTCTAGCGAAAACCGTATCTTGGCCATCGAAAAATTTCTATTCACACGTGTACCCGCTGGCCAAAATGCGATCCTCCCTATACACTCACCCGTCTCCGTTTTCCGCACACACACACGTGCCTGTGGCTGCTGCTTCCGCCACGTCCCCGCCTCCGTCCGCTTCCAAAAAGGTGCCTCCAAATTCTCCGCACTCCACGGGCTACCGTCACTATCCCTGGTCACTTCGAGCACCACCTCCTGGCTGGTCTCGGGTTATAACATTGTCATCGTTGGCCGCAGAAACTCCGTCGCGTAGAAACTCCCGTTGTGGTTACGTTGAAACTCCGTCGACCGCTCGCACGTCTATACGTTTTCGTCGCCTCCGCAAAAGTAAATCCAGACACGCGGCTTTGCCAAATTTTCGGCCGCGCTGGTAATTTTCCATTGCTCTTGCATTTCGGTGCATCAGCTTCCCTCTCGCTCTCCCCCGTTGGCGCGTGCCAATTTTCGGGGTTGCTTTGCGCTCGATCGTATGCTCGCTCTCCGTTGCTCTCGTACGGCGCTAACTCCGTGGCCACTTGTTCGTGGTGAATAACTCTCTCTGCTCTCCGAGTGTAGGTGTGTGTGTGTGTGTGTGTGCGGGATCTAGAGATGTGAGAACGGGGAACCAAAGATAACTACTAATTCTTGACTACGCTTAAATTCTGTACAACTAGAAGATGATTATAGTGCGAAACTTGGCTGTTTAAATATACAGAGCTTATTTTACAAAAACAATAGAGAATGATTATATACAAAGCTTATGTTTACAAAGTGCGAAGTGATTAAAGTATTATACGAAATTATTTCCAAAAACTTAGTTTACAAAGCGAGAATAATTTGTGGGCGTTTGCCGGTTTGTTTTTGATTTCGCTGCTGGCTGCTGCGGCTCTCCATGAGCGTTGGCGGCAGTGGTTATTGCCGTCGGCTACTGTCGTTGTCGCTGCCGGCTCCTGACCGCCGTTGTTATTGTTTTTGGGCGCTGCTGACGCTGTTGTTGTTCGCTGCTGACGCTGTTGATATTCGCTGCTGGCGCTGTTGATATGTTCGCTGCGTTGACTCTGCTGTTGTTGTTGGCTGCGGGAGCTGTTTTTGTTGTCGGCGGCTGGCGCGGTTGCCGTTGTAGTTGGCCGACAGTATTTGTGGGAAGTCGAACGACTCCTCACATCCCCCTCTTTCTTCGGGGGCGCGAAAAAAGGGAGATCTCGTTCTCCGTGGTGATGTGGACGCGGCGGATGTGTGCCGCGGCCAGTGCTGGCGCCTCCTTCTCCTTGCCCGGGGAAGAATTTCCCGGGATGACGGTAGCCAGATCATCGTCGTCGTTGCTTGTGGTGGCGGCCGTGGCCAACGCTGGCACCCTCTCTCTCGGGGCTCGCGGTCACGTCTCCAAGGGTCACTCGACGGGGAGCGGATGGTAACAGGCTTGGCACCACCGCTGCTGTCCAGGCGTGTATGGCCTCTTGGCCCAGGCCTGAGACGAGCTTTCTTGCGTCGAGCGGGCTGGCTGGTCCGTGTCAAATCGACGGCTTGCGTATGACGCGCTGTAGGAAAACAAAGTTTCATTAGCCTTTTAGGTTTACTAATATGACTAACTAGTGGTTTTAGTTGGGGGTTAGTTAGTTATTGAGGGGGAAATGCTAATGCCGGTACTGGGAGCGTTGAGTTTCCCCCTTAGGGGAGTGGAAACGTTGGGAAGGCGCACCCTCCAGCAAGTGGCCCCCACTGACTCAAGCATTGGCTCCTGTCGCAGTGTTCCTGGTTGGCTCTTGCCTTGGCCAGATCGAGCGTCGCTCGTCGGCTTATCTGTGAGCAAGTTTGTTGCTGTCGTGCAGTCTTCGTACGGACTTCTGAAGCTGCTGCTGCGCTGCTGTTCTCCGTGTGTGCTTCCGCCGTCTGCGGGTATCCTTGAATGCTTCTCCGTTGCTTCCGTCTTGATGCGGGTATCCCTGGGTAATGATGCTCTGCTTCTCTGCTGCCGCGGTTGCTCTGCTATTTCCGCCTTGGTGCGGTATTCGTGCGGCTG